TTTGGATTCTTTCTTATTTCTTTTTTTGTTCATAAATTAATGCAAATTTAGTGTTATAATGACACCTAGAGCTTCAAACCCATCGTGAACAAGTTTAAGCAGTAACTTAGGTCCACTAAATTAAATTTAAGTACTTGCTATGATCACAATTAAAACGAACTGACGTAAAAAAGCTTTATATACAGTGTGTCCGAAATTCGAGTCTCTACATGGGGATTTCGCTTATTATGAGAGATACAGAGTGGCTCAAATTAGGAATGTTTTAGGGAATTTATTGCCTGCTGTTAAATTTGCTTCAAAGTTTTCTGTTTCCTAGAAATCTGAGAAAAACTGAAAATAGCCAATTTTGTTTTTTGTCAATAATTCATAAACCGTTAACTTTAGACTTTTCCAACTTTGACATTATCAAGACACTTTTTTGACACGGATATTTTCGTGATTTGAAAACATTCTGATCGTCGTTTCTGTTCGAGTTATTAACCAAAATTTTCTTATTTCTTGTGGCGGCCATCTTCGATTTCAACAAAATAATATTCGGCAAAAAAAATCCTTTAAAATGATGTATTACAAGCTATGAAAACGTTTTGCAAGTCCTTCAAAATTATAGTCGGAACCGATATTTTGTTAAATTTGGAAACAATGCTCATAGTTATAAGAATAAAACCAAATAAGTATGATTTAATACCTAGAATCGGTATTTTTGAAGTCTTCTGGCAATTTTACTGGATAAAGAAAAAAATAAGTAGGTAGGTAAGGTATTCCACATTTTTTTTTTTTTTTTTTTTGTAATGTAACCAACATGAATTACAGCATTTCCTCCTTGTATGGGGTTACATAAATTAATTTGTGGACTGTAATTTTATTCTTTTATTCACGTTATAAATGATCTTGGATAACAATCACTAATCACTACTTACGATACTAAAATAAATGGAAACAGTAAGCTCTGGCCTTGTACGGCATTAAACTCGGAACTTTATATTAGGAAATTTAAATCAAATGAAATGAAATTAGAAAAAGCTTCTGTGAGGATCATGAGGAAAAAAACCGTGGCTCTTAAAAAAGCAATTCAGGTTATGTGTTGTTTGTTTGTATTGTAATGCTCTATGGTGATGTGTTGCTTAGGAACGGTTATTTTTGTCAAGCGTTAATGTTCCTGTCCTTGTCCTTCTCGAAAATCAGCGAAGAAAGTAGGTTTGATTTTGATTTGGTAAAAGAAATAAACTTTGACATTCATAATTTTTGTTCGGAGGTTCGGAGTTTAAAAATTCCGGAACATCCTGGGCCCCGTTGAAAGCTGCTGTTTTCAAAGAAGTAAAATAAAGCAGGTTAAAAAATCCTGGGACAAATAGAGGATTGATTAGTTGAGGACTTCTTCGCTATTGCAAGGCAAAGGACACAATTTTGTTACAGATCTCATGAATACACCGTCTTTTGTTCTAATTTTGACTACTCTGACATTGTTGTCAGGGCTGGGAACAATCTCAATCACTCTAGCAAGAGGCCACTCTAGAGGACGGGTATTTTCCTCCTTCAGAAGGACCATATCATTAATTTTCAGATTTTTCATGGGTTTTAACCATTCAGGTATGTTTTGTAATAAATTGAGATAGTCACGAGTCCACCTTTTCCAGAAGGTTTGTTGAACACGAGTGCATTTTTGAAAACGAGTAAGGCGATTTTCGTTAAGATCTGTTAAATATGTTTCCGGAAAAGACATAAGATTATCACCGATCAAGAAATGGCCGGGTGTTAGACTGGTTAGATCAGTGGAGTCACAGGAGACAGGTTGTAAGGGTCGAGAATTGAGTATAACCTCTATTTGTGCCAGAATAGTACTCAATTCTTCAAAGGTAAAATTCGAGTTGCCGGCGATTCTATATAAATGATATTTGGTGCTTTTTATGGCGGCCTCCCAGAGATCGCCAAAATGAGGACTCCTAGGGGGGATAAATTTCCAAGAAATTCCCTTAGGTGACAGAAAGTCGTCTATTTCAGCTACGTTCGATTCCTCATGTATGAAATCATATAATTTTTTCAATTGATTGTTGGAGCCTAAGAAATTGGTTGCATTATCACTAAGAATACATCTGGGGTGCCCTCGGCGAGATATAAACCGCTTTAGGGTTAAAATAAATGAGTCTGTTGAAAGACTAGAGACTAGCTCGACATGCACTGCTTTTGTAGCCATGCATACAAAAATGCAAATATAGGCTTTAGTTAAGGAGGCACGACGCAGAGTTGAGGTTTTGCCGAAAAATGGACCACCGAAATCAACGCCAACCTTGAAAAAAGGTCTAGAAGGAGTTGTTCGATCTTTTGGAAGGTCCGACATGATTTGTTGGCTTACTATAGCCTTGAATCGGTAGCATGTTATGCACTTACGAATTATACGTTTGACTTCTGTTAAGCCACCAAGCGGCCAAAATCTCAGTCGGAAATTTGAAAGTACAGAATGGGCTCCCGCATGTCCTAGTCTAAGATGTTCCTTCTTGAGCATCAAGGAAACTACGGCAGAATTTGAGGGTAACAGAACAGGATACTTTTGTCATAAGGTAAATCTGAGTATGACAAGCGTCCACCTACTCTGAGTAGGCCATCGGTATCAAGAAAAGGTGATAGTTGAAGTATGCATTTTCTCGCTATGCATTTATTGGATTTCAATTGTTGGATTTCTTCGGAAAAGCTTTGTTCTTGCAGAACCTTGACAATTACGCGTTGAGAATATTCAAGTTCTTCGACTTTAAGTGAGCCTACGAATTCCTTAATTCCCTTTAAAATCTGAATAAAACGAAAAACAAAGGCTATTGTTCTTTGAAGCTTCGTAAATGAGGAAAATTTATGGAACCAAAGTAATGAGTTCAAAAGTTCAGTAGGTTTCATGCCCCTGGACAAGAGATCTACGGGATTATCTGCTGATTTAACGTGAAGCCAGCGATAATTTGAAGTCAGCTGCTGAATTTGTGAAACCCTGTTTGATACGAACACGGTCCATCTTGAGGGATGAGATCTGATCCAACATAAGGTAATTTGTGAATCGGAGTACAAGTTAATATTGCTAAATATGAATTTTTTATCGAACACAGCAACAATTTTTGCAGTAAGATTGAAAAGGAGGAGAGCTGCACAGAGCTCAAGACGAGGGATCGAAATAACCTTTATGGATGCTACTCGGCTTTTGGCAGCAATCAGTTTAGAAGATACATTTCCGTCAGTATAAACAGCTCGAATGTAGATGCAGGCTCCATAGGCCTTCAAGCTCGCATCACAAAATCCGTGTATTTCAAGTTTCTGAACCTTACAATCAGACAGTAGATGTCTGGGTATTTTTAAATAAGCAAGTTGGGGAATTTCAGATGCAAATTCTGTCCATGCTAATTGAAGTTCTTGGTTCAGACTACTGTCCCACTCAATTTTGGCTGTCCATATCCTTTGCATAATAATCTTTGCGACTATAGTGACTGGAGCAACAAATCCTAATGGATCGAACAGCTGGGCTATTTGCGATAAGACTTCCCTTTTGGCGGGGTTTGTGGTGGTGAGGACCTTTGGCAGCGTAACAGCAAACTGGTCAGTATTGGAATTCCAAGAGATACCTAATAAATTATTGGAAGTTTCGTCACATTTTATCTCGAAGTCTTCAGGTTGTGTAGTAGGTTCAATTTTAAGGAAGTTTTTAAGAAAATCGTTATTGTTAGAGGACCATTTATGAAGAGCCATATTGGCTGGTTGCATAACTGCGATGAGTTGATTATAAATTTCTTGTAATTCTCCAAGAGAATCACTGGTAGCTAAAACATCATCCACATAGGTTTGATGTTCAAGAACGTGAGCCGCTAAGGGAAAGTTTTCTTTGCTTCGAATAGCTATTTCCTTTACAACACGAGTTGCAAGGAAGGGTGCACTATTAGTGCCATAAGTAACTGTAAGAAGTTTTATGCATTTCAGAGGTTGGTTTGGGGTTTCGCGCCACAATATATTCTGCAGGAAAGTCATCAAGGGAGAAATTCAAATGCAACGAAACATTTTGACTATGTCGCAAGTGAGAACAAATCTCGTCATCCTAAACCTAATAAGAATGTCAAATAATTCTGGCTGAATTTGATAGCCTTTAAGCATGATATCATTTAGGGAGGTTCCTGTTGATGTCTTCATAGAGGCGTCAAAGACTACTCTGAGTTTCGTTGTCGAACTTTGATCACGCAAAACACAGTGATGTGGGAGGAAATATTTGTTTTGGCCATGTTTATTGAATAGTTCAAGGGGTACAAATTTAGCGTGTCCTAAAAGGATGTATTCATTAATAAATGATTTATATCTTTTAATAAGAATTGGATTTTTTTCAAAACGTTTTTCCAAATTAAGAAATCTTTTTTTTGCCATATAATAGGAGTCTCCAAGTTTTAACTGTTCCTTAGGACTTTTTAGAGGTAGTTTGACCTCAAAGGCTCCGTCAGGTAAGTTTATAGTTGACTCGCAAAATATTTTTTCAGCTAATTCATCCCCAGGTGAAAGACATCTACCTGTATAACAGATTTCTTCTTGAGTCCAAAATCTTTGAATTAAAGAGTCTAATGAAATGTGTGTGAGCAAATTGATTTCGGGATATTCAGGGATATTATTATACAAAATAAGTTGTTTGGGTATAGGACCGCCAATTACATAGCCTAAATGAGTATCGATGAGTGTCAATAGGTTGCCTTGTACGCGGAGCAAACCACCAGTTAGAAATTGATAATAAATATCAGCTCCAAGAAGCAGCTCTATATTACAGGGTACGAAAAATTGAGGATCTGCTAGTTTTACATCACTAGGAATTGAAATTAAATCTCGTTTTAGATGAAGGGAAGGTAAACAGTTTGTAATTGTGTTGAGAACAACACAGGTGACATCAAATTTTAAATGTTTCTTAACATTAGAATAGAATGTCAATTTGACAATGCTACTGGACTGTGTCGCAGTGTTACCAACACAATTTATTTCTATAATTCTAATTTCAGGAGTTAATTTCAAGAATTTAACGAGGGTATCGGTTATTAATGAAATGCTGGAGCATGGATCCAACAGGGCCTTTACGTTAGAAGCCTTGCCCTTTATATCGAAAACAGCAACTAGAGCTGTGGCCAGCAGTGTTTCACCACTTGATGCCAGTGATGAACATACTGGGTACGATGTATCATTAGTTTCTAGTCATGATGAATGCCTGAACCCAGTCGGTGGGTTGTTTTGAGGAATTGTTGACGGTTGTCTGTTAAAAGTATGAGAGTTTCTTTGTTGTGACTGATTATAAGTGTTCGGGGAGTTAGAATATTGCGTAGAACGTTGTGTTGAGGTTGCAGGATTTTCTTGATTTGTTTCTAATTCAGGTGCTCTATTGGAAGGGTGGTTCGAAGAATGAAGCAGGGTTTGATGTTTATTTTCACATATTGTGCAGCTACGCGAGGTGCATTGATCAGTTGAATGGTTTGGATTGAGGCAATTAAAACAAAGTTTTTTAGCTCTTACAAAAGAATATTTGTCTGATCGGGATAAAGAGATAAATTTCTGACATCTATAAATTTTATGACCAGAAATGTTACAAAAAACACAATTTATATTGTTTGGAATTTTGTTATTTTCCGAAGTGTTTTGAGTAAAGTGAACGTTATGGGTTACTTTGGTTTGTTTTTTATTAACTGCGCCTAAATCTGGTATAGATGAACGTTCAAAAATAATGCAGCGTTTTTCAAGAAATTCAAAAAGCAATTTTAAGGTGGGACGGCTATTGGTTCCCAATTCGAAATCAAATGCCTTGCGAGTACTGCCATCAAGTTTTTGGGAAAAAATATAAATAAGGATTAAATCCCATTGGTCTACATTGACGTCGAGATTTTTTAGACCTTCCATATTTTGTTTTAAAAAGGTGACCAAGTCTCTCAAAGATGTTGAATTGCCTTTGCTTATTGAAGGTGCTTCTATCAAGTTTTTAATATAAGCATAAATTATATTGAGTTCGTTATCGTATCTGTCCTTTAGAATCTTGAGTGCTACATTGAAATTGTCACCAGCCAGTTGTAAATTGAAAATAGGGCTTAAGGCTTCGCCCTTTAAATAGCTTTTAAGATATATGAGTTTCTCTATATTAGATAAACTTGTGTCATCTTCGATAAAATTTTTAAATAATTCATAAAAGCCATGCCAAGTGGTAATATCCCCGGAAAAGACAGGAATATTAAGCAGCGGACGCTGTATATGAGAAATTGTGGGGTTAGTTACTGCAACAGGTGAATTATTTTTTAAATAATCGATTTTAGATTTTAATTTGGATGATATGTCATAGTATGCATCCTCACACATGCCTCTTTCTATTTCATCAGTTACATCATTCGTTTGTTCAATTTGTTCCTGTATTTGACAAAACTTTTCAAATGCTGAATCGACTGCATGTAATCGAGTTTCAAATTGTTGAACTTCAGTAACTGAATCTACATTTCTGTTAAACCAATCCTGAATTCTTGTAAACCTGCTCTTAGCAGCACCTCTCTGTCTAATTAGGGATTCCATTATTAATGAAAAAGTTTAGAGGCCGAAATTTAAAGAATCAAAATTGTTTTTCCAATTTTTGTTAAAGAAAGAGATGTAATACGTAAATAAATAAGAGTTAGGTACTAAAATGTTTGAACAAAGACACAATGTCAAGGTAAAAATCACAAAAAAAGTTGAAAAAGGTTTCACAAAATAGCTATAAAAGAATTGAAGCTAAAGAAAGGATTTATAGATACAATTTCCAGAGTCCTCTACAAAGTAAAATGTTCCACAAAGGCAAAAAATAAAATTTTGAACAATTACAACCGAGATTACAACAATTTAAAAATAATTGTATAAGCGTTAAGTAAAGTTAAATTTAAAGGTACAATATCAATATCTTGGGTATCAAAGTTAAAGAAGTTAAGCTAAGTAGGTACCTACCAGTGAAATTTGCCACAAGGCGATTGTTCCACAAGGAACTCAAGTTCAATTTTGTTGCCACAAGGCTCACCTAGGTATTTTTAGCTGGGGCCAAGCTCCCAGCCACTAATGACTTATAAAAAAATCACAGAAAGAATTGTAGAAATCACTCGAGAAATCACTTATTACTTTTGGATTTCTGTTACACGCACAAAGGGTCAAATATCAAGTTAACTTTAAATGTTGAAGAAGCACTGAATTTTTATGTTTTTGCAGGTAATAATTAAAGTTAATTGGTTATCTCCTACCTTAGTTTTCTGCTATAAGTACTGGTATGGTACCTGGTGATGACTGTAGATGGAAAATTCGAAAATTGCACTGTCCAAAGCATTACCCTCCAAAGCCACAACTGCTCGAGATCCTTGTGTTGCAACAAGCAACAAAATCCATTTGCCAGGTCTTTGTTTTAGTATCCGGGTAGTAACTTGGCGAGTACCTACATTAAAAAAGTTCCTTTCTTCTAAATTCAATTGTTATTGTTCATTAACTTATTTCATCTCTCATGTATTTACATAATATAAAGTTAAATAAAGTTTTCCTTTTTAAATTATTTAATTATTATAAATCTTAAAAGTGGCTGCATATATCCACAATTTTTTTAGTGGCAACTATAAGCAAATCAACTATTATCTTAGACACAGAGTACATATTATGTCATGACAAAAACATCTCATGTAAAAGAATGGCCAAATACGCGAAAATGGCGATAATCCAAATTAGAACAATAACTCTTTCAATAGGTATTTTGACTGTAGGTAGGTACTCGCCAAATTTGAAACATTTTAGAATAAATAAAGCCACCATTTTATTTTCGAATGCATATTGAAGAACTTGGCTTGACTTTGATTTCACTTCTTTTTAGGGATAAGTATTTTCGCGGCCTTGGCCATTTTTTTACATGGAATGTTTTTGTTATGATTTTTCTTTTTCTTGTTAGACAATAATTGACGGAGATACAACGCTTTGAGATGTGATTATTTTTCATACTCCATGACGTCACCCATGCTTAGTATATCTATACAAAACTTAATATTTGTATAACTTTAGTAATAATTATATTTGGACAGAATAAAAAAATACGTATAGATTTTTTTTCGATTTCCTACAGTTTGCAATAAACAATAATCAATTTCATTTTTCAGTAAAGTTCCCTATTGTATCCTCAATTTGCTGCCATCAACAGGTCCTAAAAGAATAAATACTTTTACTTGCTTACATTTTGGACGAATTATTACTTGTAAACAGGGTGTCCCCGAATCAATCACCCAGTGAATGTGTAGTCTGCTTCGAATTTCGCAATTTAATAAAGGTAGGTAGGTACTTAATTTGTTTATTCTGTAAAATCGATCCTTCAGTAAGTGCCATCATCTAAAAAACATATAATTTGGGGACACACTGTACACAAGTAAAAATTCATCCAAAATGTTAGCAAGTAGAAATAATTATTCTTTTAGGACCTGTTGATGGTAGCAAAATATCAAGAAATTGAGGAAACAATTGTTTTATAGGATGTCGATCTAAAAATCCCTATATTTCTAATATTATCATTAACGACCTATACATGAACGATTTAATCACTGGTTGTGAAATTTATCAAGCAGCTAATCAGCTTTAAAACGAAATGTTTCATGTTTTGCAAAAATCAGGATTAAATCTACGGAAGTGGATGTTTAATGATGTTAACTTTTTGGCTGCTATCGGTAACGAAACGCCTTTTCGAATCAAAATCAAAAGTGAAAAGGAGATCAAAATATTAGGCATATTTTGGAATCCGAAGAAATACGCCTTTCCTACTTATTTTGGACAATCCAGTGTCACTGAAAACACCGTGTTAGCGGGCTTGGCACAGTTATTTGATTCTCTCGGATTGATAAACCCTATTATTGTAAGAGCTAAATTGATTTTATAAGAAATCTGGAAAATCAAAGGCGATTGGGACGACAATTTGCCCGAGCATATTTTAGCCTGTTGGCTAGACTTCGTTGAGCAAATAGCATCGATAAATTCTATCAGAATTCTCAGATATGTCTTGTTTTCTTGTATGTCAAAGAATATCCGGTTACACGGGTGTGTGTGTGTGATCTATGGCACCTCAATCTATCTGACTTATCTAGATGGTAAAGGTCAAATTTGTTCCAATCTTATTTGCGCAAAGAGTCGACTTGCGCCTCTAAATTCCAATTTCACCATATCCAAGTAAGAACTCATTTATTGGCTCAACTCATGCATTGATTCAAATGCACTCTTAGAATTCCAATCGAGCAAACAACATATTGGATAGATTCTTATATTGTTCTGGCATGGTTGGACAGCGAGCCGAGTAATTGGGAAGTTTTTGTTAGCAATCGTGTGGCTGAAATTCAGCGTTTAACTAGAAACACCCAATGGAGGCACGTATCAACTGACGTTTTGAGTCGCGGTTCTAACCCTCAGTTATTACAAAATTCCACACTTTGGTGGCATGGCCCATCATATATCTGCCAAACCTTGTTCCGATAAATTTATCATTTACGTAACATGTTCCATCTCTTCTTATTTTCATTATAAAGTTGTATTTTTTCCATCAGAATCAGCAAAATAATAATTCCTAATAATCTAAAAAATATCCAAAAAGTTTAAAATAAAGCCAGTGCTGCCATCTATCCATCAAAATGCAAATATCCAAAATTCATTTACCAGTGCTGCCATCTAGTACCGGATGAGTTTATTTATTTTTTTAAAATTGTGATAGTTTTCCTTGGCTATTATATTTATCTCACTTTTAGCAAATGGATATATTTCTGTGTTTCTCTGAAATAATCATTTTTTGGTTTACTGATCTAATTAATTAACAGTTTTTTATTTTTGACATAACCTTAATTTAAATTATTATAATTTCTACTTAAACAATTAAAATAATTCTAGTGGATTTTTATCTATTCTCTTTTATTCCACGTGGTTTTTCATTGTGATTTCATTGTAAAGTGAATATGTTCTTTTGGGTGTACTCGTCTGATTGGTTGAACTGGTTAAAATGCAGGTAAGTATAAAAAACACAGGATTGTTTTCCTATGGGGTTTGTTTTCTAAAACGGTCTCTTCTCCTCGATAGTAGTCTAGCAGGCAAGTCATTTTTATCTTCAATAATTTTTGCTTAACTTTTTTTGGATTCTCCCTCATAGATTTTTCAATATTTTAATAGATAACGTCCTTAGTGTTTGAGATAGAGTAGAGATAATGGGTTCAGGACT